CGTTTTGACATCTCCATCCCGTTTGTGCCAACAAAGGACCTCGCCAAACAATGCTCTGGATTGCATACATGGAGTCTGTTCGTATGCACAATCCATAGCACACGGGGGTATCTGCCACCACAAGAAGTACTGCGAACAACTCCGCCCGATTATTCGTCTGATCTCCCGGAACTCTCACACTCTGGTTCCAACGACACCCTGTTCCAATGAAGACACCCGCACCCGCTCTAGCATCGGCACATCCTTGATTCAAGCACGATCCGTCCACATAAACCTCCCGAATTTCCAATACCTCATCGCCATATTTCCCATATGTATGCGCAATCCACTCCTCCTCATCCATTGACTTATTCAGCAATTCCTGTAGACGAAAATCCAAGGCAGTTTCCAAAGGAGGCTGCAAATCTCGTCGCCGTCGCAGTCCTTCGACCACTGTTTTTTTGTTCCTTCTTTCCCAATCACCCAGTCCTTCCACCTTCAACTCCGTACGAAGAGGACAGTGGTCGGAGAGTGCCGACTTCTCGAGGATGTCCATCCATTCTACACATGACAACATCGACTCCGAGACAATCACAAAATCTATCGTGGACCGGTACACTTGCGCTTCGATATCTGCTGACCGATAATATGTGAAGCCACCATGGTTTCCCTGTACCGACATACATCCATTCACAATCACCAACGTTGTAACGAAAGGGACTGGAACCTAGACTCTGAGTCTTCATGCCGTCACGCCAAGTCACATCATCAAAAAAAACCTCAACACCCAACTACCTAGACGTTTCACGTCAAGTAGACGTTCAACTCAACAACTCTCATGTTCATCGACTCCAAGCGTCTTGTCCCTCGCGATGCGCTACCAGTATGCACATTGCCTTGATCTTTGAAGCAATAATGCCTACGATTTCAAAAGCCTGGTTTACAATTGCAGCGCATTTCATATGGCGTTCAACGCGGACAGGTAGTTAATTACCTACCGCTGAAGAACGCTCCGCCCCGACCTTCACCACTAATCCCGCTGACATCTACGAAACTCGTTGGCTCGATCCACTCTGCCCTCTACACAATGTTGTTGCTGATTCAAACCTTGTTTCGTGGGCCCTCTTTTGTACTGGCTGGACGTATCCCATCGCACCCTTGGTTTTGTGCTCGTTGCAGATATGTTTTCCGTGCAGCAATCTGTGTGGCAGTAGGCGCTCTTCTCAAATCGTCAAATACAAGTCTAATTCCTATGTAGTATCTTCAAAGTTGCGTGCCACGTCCGAGATCTGCTTCCAGTTCGGCTGGGCCATTCCTGCTAGGGCAGCTTCCTTCCGCAAGGAGCATTGTGCAAACATTGCCGCAGCGCTCGGGCCTATATGGAGCTTTACTCCGCCAGAAGACTCTCGACATCCTTGATGCTGACAACATCACCTTTCCAATTACCCGGCGCGAAGGCGTCGGGCTGCACAACTCGATCGGCACCATGGTCGGGCTCAGCTGACAATGCAAAACTTATCGGGACAATCGGCGTAGCTCGATGTTCGCACCACCGCCGAAGAGCATGCTGCTGCTGCCCATGAACAGCTTGAGTTGCTATCGACGAAACAGATTCGGACTCTAGCTATCGTCACGGAAGCCCCATTCGACTGGCACTTGAACGACGCACTTCATCTCAAACGCCTGTCGAAATATGACTGCTAACGTTGGTCCTTCCTGTATTGACTTGCGTCTTGAGTCTTTTACGGTGTACCGGTTTCACAATCTCCCTACGCTTGTTACGATCAAGCCCAAAGTCGATCCGATTGCCCAAGGAATCCCTCATCCGACGGTTGGCTATGCCGGAGAAGCTTTCACACCCCGATGCTGTTGCGAAATGCTGCGAAATGCATGCAGCGGAGTTTGCAACGGTTCATGCTGTTGCTGCTGCACTTCAGAGGGTTGAGCGCTTAACCTCGACGGAACTTGTCAGTCTTGAACTCCAACGAACTCTTCTTGCACCCAGGAGCCCCATCGACGAGTCCCCACAGGCCACGACCTACGCAAAAATAACTTGATTGATATCCTCAAACTTTCCGAATGCCGCCTAGTTGGGTTCACATAGTTAGGCACCACCCCGTCTGCATTCCGAGTGGCATTGGTCGTAGCTTTAAGTAGCCTTCCAGGACTGCTGAAGCGGTTTGATGTCGTGTATTACCTTACTGAAGTGAGTCACTACTTACTCCAGTCTATTGGTACTCGGTGGGCAGGTGTATCAATCTGGACACTATCTGCCCCCAGCAACAGTAGTCAGATGAAGTGCTAGCAAAGCCCCATGGCATCTATACTCTATACCATAGTCAATCTTGACATATCAAAACTCTAACTTTGACCTTGACTCAAGTTGATCCAAATTCTTTGATCCAAATTCTTTGTTGTTGACGTTTACCATGACTCTTGTCGCCACCTATGGTTGTTGGTTCATCTCCCTCCTTTTCGGCACTGTGTGCGCGTTCAACTGAACGCTCATGGGTTGATTCACTCAGCACAACTACAGGCTTTATGGAATCGGGCTGCTCCAAGTCTGGCTATATTTCAAGTGGTGGAAGGATGACTCTCATATTCAGGGCACGGTGCGAACTAATACCCGACTTCTTGTGGCAAGTAATGTGACGGTCTTCGAAGGTTATCTTGGTCTGGTTTGCTTCCTGTTTGCCAGTAGATACGTGCAGTTTCAAGTCAGGCGTAGCTTTGTGGAAACTTGCCAAATCACTTTCTTCTGGACCTCCAGCTACACACACTTTGTTCTTCAGTTCGGCGAGGCTCAATTCGGGCTTCTCTGGTATACCTGTCATCTTTTGCAGAGAAGCTGAGTGCTGAGTGCATACCCAATAGCAAATGTGAGAGGCTCATCCAGATCAGCTCTGACTGATGTTCGGTGTGAACAGTTTATTGGAACTCTATGCTTGCAACGTACATCTACAAATCCGGTGGAATACATTACTAATACAGCTCTCTAGCCTCAACATGCGCAATTACCTTCGCCACAGAATATTTGGGCCCAGTGTCGAAACTAGTCCCCTTGACGACTTGGCGACGCCTGGAACCCCGTCGGTATCAGTGGTACGATTCGCACGCCCTAACGTGAGCACTGCAACGGTACACTATGCAACGGCCTATATAGAGACTGAGGCATCTTGAATCTTCATAGGGAATCGCCTCATCGACTAGTACTTCTTAGCTCTGTACTGTATGATTGTGTACTTGAAAGTCTATCGGAGCATAGACCAGAATTTTGAATATCCAGTGCGCAAGTGCAGGGACGACCAACCAGCGAAGAAAAAACATCTCGGCAAGCTTACATAATGAGCCGTACAGTAAGCAGAAAACTCGCGGTATGTGGTCTTCTCCAGCTTGCGAAATTATGCACCAGAGGACCAATCAACAGTAACGGCAGAAGCGTAAGAGACGCTGGCCAGCTCATTGTCAATGAAGATAAGACGGCGAGTTGACGACGATTCCGTCTCTCCCACAGGCCTTGGTGAAGTCGTTTCTGGGTGAGGCGATGATTGGATCATCGCGGGTTTCGCGAAATGAGGTTGAAGCAAGAGAGTCAGATGAACCATGGGATGGACGAGGAGGTAGAGATGTTGGAAGAGCAGAAAGTGTGGGAGAGTGTTGACCTGGGCCGCCTTTTATATTGCAACGGGATTCGAAAAGTCGATAATGCCACCGGTGACCGGACACGGTTTGAGTCACAATGTTTTCTAATTCGTCCCAAATTGGTGTCTTAATTCCTGTTGCAGCGAACAAGTCATTTCGTATGCGGGCCCGTTTGGAAAAATAATAAATCTGACAGATATTGAGTGAGTGAGTGAGATCGTGGCGCCGCCACATACTTTGTACGAGAGACAGGCAGTTTCCTTCCGAGACTTGACTCACTCCGAGAAATTCGACCTGCTTGAGAGAGTTTGTCTGGCCCGAGAAACTTTCGCGCTCCGAGAAACCGTTCTCGCTCTGAGAGACCATCGGCAACACAGTTACCGGCTGCCGAGTCACGCGTTACTGTGACGCTACCTGTTCACCGCTTGTTATGTTCTGCTGCAGGCAACAGCCAAACAGCAGCTGAGCGCCGCTTGACGCGGGACGCAGATGGAAAAGGACAATCATTGCTGATGCGAAATCATGGCTATCCAGATTCCATGCAGGGAAAGTAACCATGCAAACCTTGCAAAGCCACAATGCCAGTGACCATCCACATGGATCGGCTTTGCTAGCCGGGCTGGATCAAGCCTCGGCCCAACCCGGCTTGGGTCGGCAGAGCCCGAGGCGAGGCGGGCACGAAGCTTGGGCGAGTGAAATCCTGACCCGAATTCGGGCGGCAGTATCACTACCATGCCTTTGATATTTCCATCATGAGCTGGTAAACACACCTCTGTTGCAGTCGGCATGAACTCGCCACATGAGAACTTTGAAGCCACATGGGTGGCTTCCATCAAGGGTGATCGTGAATTTGCCCGGGTTCAGACAGCACTCAGCGGTTGCAGCCTTGTCCGCTACAGATGGTGCAAAACCTTGCAAAACGGACAGTAATTCAAAGGACCCAGTTAGTGGCACGTGACTCGGTAGCCGGTAACTGCATTGCCGAGGCAGGGAGAAGAGTTTCTCGGACTGCCAAAGTTTCTCGGGGTAAAAAAAAGTTTCTCGTAGTGGACCAATTTCTCGGATGAGTGAAGTCTCGTAAGAAAACTGCCTATTTCTCGTACAAAGTATGTGGCGCCGCCGCAATCTCGCTCAGTCAACCAATACCTGTCGGATTTATTATTTTTCCAAACGGGCCCGCATAATTTCGCCATGGATTAGCTGCGGTGGATAATTTGGCAGCCACGGCGTCGAGAGTGAGGATTCTCAATGAGATGGTGGCCAGAAGCGGAAGAAACGCGTCGCGTGAATTAAGGACAGCAGTCACCAAATTGTGCTCGGATTCATAGCGATGACTGTATCCAAAAAACACTGGTGCACGGTGCCGCGCACCACGATAGTCATGAGAGAAGATGAGGCATTTCGAGGTCGACCCAAGCTGTCTGGTGAAGTTCTCCGTCGAGCGTTTCGGGGGATGAAGGAGCTTTTAAGTCTCGAGGGATCTTTGTCATGAATTCTCGATTGCCATTGAGTACAGTATATACTGCGGGCAGGTTGCGGACAAGTCCATGATAGAACTCGGAGTGCTAACATTCTGATTAGCAATAATGCAGCGTATGAAGTATATATTGACTGACCGGTGGTATTTCTTGGGGGCCCAATTGGCTTCGAGGGACAAGAATCCAGGAGTGCGAAGGGAGTTCAGGATTCATAACTTCGCCGTACTCCTCCATTGTGAGAGGACGGGGCTGGGGTTTCGAGGGTTGCGGGGCGCGCCGTGAACGCGAAGGACCGGCTTGAGGGGTTCGAGATCCCTCAACGTAAGACGTTTGGGGGGTGCTTCCCGAGCCATGGCGGTCGTAAGATGATTTGAGCACAAACGCCGATCAGCGTCACGCCGGCTGATGGCCGATGGATCCCTGCTGTGACGATGTCACAGCACTTCCAAGGTTGTTTCTTCGAAGTCGCTGTTGTCAGTTGTCTTACAACGGCACACAGCTCGCTAGTCTCAAACCCGGCGCTGATGTCAAAGCCCGCCGTTACTGCCAGTTGTCTCACAACGGCACAGCTCGGGCGAGATCTCAACATCGGACATACGACAGCAAGATTCAACTTGGCCAAATTTTTCAGTTGCAAGTAAACGATTCTGAAAGTCTTTCAAAATTACTGACAAATCAACTAGCTACTCAGATTACATACGACCAGTCGCCGTGAACGCCTCAGCTGAGACTTCAAGCTCCTTCTGGAACACGATGGACCTCGACGCGAGCCATGCACTATTGTACAGCACTTTGGGGGAGATCTTCAGGCGGGGCTTGACTTCCCGGTTCTTGGACTCGCTTTCTCTGTTATCTTCGTGGATGGCCTGGCGGTTTGTGCGTCGATCAAGCGCATGGTGATAATGCCTAATTCGAGCCCTCCTTGTCATCCGCGACGACAATATACCCTCCTTTTCAATGGCGTTCCAAGCAGATCTGACATCCCACTGGATAAGATTGATGGGCTTGGGCACCACCATCAACTGCGTTGACCTCGCTCTGGAAAGCCGGAACGTGAAAGACGAACTCCGTGGTTTGGTCGACGCAGAAACATTGCATAATACATAGAACTTAACTCACCCTCGCCTCGTTAGCGATATCTCTCTCTACGGGTTTAGCCCGTCCTATCTCAACCGTGACCTTTCCACCACCCTCAATCTTCAATCCTATCTGCTTAAATATGGTCTCCAATTGGTCCCCATGGTTATCGTCTTATCTTCCGCGGCAACCTTTTGTCCTGGTGACGTCTGGAATGGGAGCGGATCGAGTGGGAGCTGCGTGGTGGGCGTCTTCTCCTTTCGGGCCGAACTGAGCCGTTCTTTGTGGCCACCTCGCAGTCGTCAATCAATGTTCCCGAGGACATTCGATGTCGGCCTGAATTCATGTGGATTAGCATCATTCTGGCTCATTCTGGGGCCGGACGAAGCGAGTTCCGAGGAAATCGACCACTACGTTCGTCCTCTGGTTGACAATTTTGTCAAGGGGTGGGAGCGTCTTTGCCGGAAAGCCTACGCCGACTCGGGTCCAAAAAACCCGCAAAGACTGCTCCAGCGGTCCTTTCTCGAACGACAAAACCGAAGCTGTTCATCAACGGGCACTGAATGCGCAAGCGAATCAGTAGGATTCAGACTTGGACGAAGACAAGGACGAATCATTTCCAACGACGGCTCGCGTAAACCGCGGTACCGCAACCTTCGCGGCAGCAGCACCAGCTACAGCGCGGGTTTGGGACAGCCAGATCAGAGTCTTCGCGAGGCGTCTATGGGGGGTGTGGAAAGGAAGATGAGCTGGAGCACAGGAAACTTGGTGGCTAGCGTGAGTGGTGGCAATGTTACTTGTACGTGGTCTTTCTGTCCTTGTGCTTTCCGCGTTTTGCTGACTTGACTCCTCTTTCCCTTAATTTTGTGTTCTTCTCTCGACGGTTTCCCTCTCCAATCACGCTTTTGCATTCGACTTGCTTTTCGATATTACCTCCCACCTTTTCCGAGTCTTTGCCTGCCTGTTTCCTTGCTCTATTCCACCATATAACGCCTCCACTTTTCCTGTTTACTCCTCAGTACCTCCTCGACATTGGCTTGCTTTTTCGTACTATGCATGTTCCCCACTCCATCCACCTTTACGTTTCCTGGGCGAACCGTCATTCATCTCGACATCCCCTTAACCTCATTTACGGACACGAATATGATCACCAGTGGCCCAATGGTCCTCCCTTCCATTGGACAAGCGTGAACGCCTATGACATCACGTGCCATCAATCAAAACCCACTCGGCAACGTTGTCCATATATTAGATAGATTCTGCCATACAGCCAAACCACTTTCGCGAGCGCAAGAGCTGACCAACGATCACCTCGGGGGCAATTACCGCCTTGACTATCCCTTGCGCCACCCAATCGTGCGTGTAGGCTGCTCGTTGGCCTCTCGGACATGAACGCAGTCGCTGCGTGCTCATGTGTCAGCAAATAAGACAAGGCGAACTAAAACCCACTACTTGCACGACGACTCCTCGCTGAAATCGCTATCAAATCATCGAAAACAAGCACGACACTACGGTTTGTCCTTTGTCTCCATTTTATGCATCTTCCTCACTCGTTCTCCATCTTTAGGACATCCATTCTGACGTGAACCTATCTCTCGGTTGAGCGACCATGCCCACGGTGGAAGCCGAAACTAGAAACCCCAAAAGCCACCACTGAAACTTGTAACGGGTTCCAGCGACATAGATTGCAACTCAACTCTGGAAAATTCGCCAGTGACCTAAAGCGGCTTCCCAGCAAGTTCTCGCCTTCCCCCTCGTTCCAGTCGCAGCCGCAGTCGAAGTAGGCTTAAGCACAATGGGGTCTTTTTGGTGTAACGGAAACTTGAAGGCGACCGTCGATTATCTCAGTTTTGCAACAAGATTCGTGAACGCACTTCCACAGCAAATCTTCTGCTTCTGGGCCTGTGTTCCTGTAGGCTATATAGCTGATGATAAGCCTGCTTATACCCGTCTTATCGATGTCTTATAGGGTCTTGCGGATGGACTATGAGATTAGGAAGTCAAATTAAAGCCTTACCAAGATCTTATGCTTATCGAGGTCTAATGAGATTATGAAGGCCTTATAGGTTGCTTAGCGTGGTCTTATGGATGCCTAATGAAAGCCTTGTCGCTTGCCTACAGAGGTCTGATCAACATCTTATTGATGTCTAATAATCTCTCGACCCCATTCATCGATTGCTCTTCGACGAGGCCAAACACGGTTGGACGAGCACTATATATGCATTTCACAATAGCGACATCCTTATTGAGTATCGTGGAGGCTAGCTCCATCATGTCTTTGTCTGCGCCGCTCGGGGCTGCAGCCATCGCGTGGCTCGGAAGTTGGAACCCAACAACCAAGGACAACAACTCAACGACAAATTTCACGAATCATGCAAACAAGTGTTGGGTACAGACACCGTTGAGGCTGCGGCGGAAGTTGGGTCATAAGAGAAAGCTCAGAAACTTCAGAAGTTGCGGGGTCTTAACCACTACGCTGCACTGCGAGCGTTTGTCGCCGGGATCAACCATTCAACATTTCCTGGCGATCCAATCATGGAACATATCAAAGCCAAATCGCCAGACCAGGAATGGACGACTACATTTTGACCATCGACTCGCATGTTATGTTAAAGACGGTGGACCAACCACAAAAAGTAAAGACGATGCCGACCTTGCTCCTGACTTCGTGTTGGATCTCTCGGGGGACACCTATGTGGATATTGGAGATGCTGCTAGGTTAGTTGACCTAGTGAAGGAGGGACGGAAACCAGAGCCTATATCGGATGAGGACTTCATTGCTCGACGAAAGCAGGGTGTAAAGAGGAAGAGGGATGAAGATGAGTCTCGCAGTCGGATTCGAAAGGCAGCGAACTACAAGAGGAAATGAGGAGGAAGAGAGCGATCCACTAGCAACCTCTGATGAAGAGAGTAACCCTGATTACCCTCAGACGAGGATGGCCCAAGTGACCAAGGAGAGGATGATGAAGACGAGTCACAAGAAGAAACTCAGGCCGAAAAAAGAGAGGAAGACAACGCAAGAACCCTCGTCATTTCTTTCCATGAGCCTTTCGCGGCCAAAGCGCTGACCAACACTAAACCAATACCGATTCAAGCTGCCACCATTCCTGTCGTGCTATTAGGGAAATATATTGTTGGAGGTGGCCAGCTACAAGCTCTGGCAAGACTGTGGCTTTCATTATTCCCATGATTGAACGACTTCTACTATATCGTCAAAAAGGCGCAAGAGCTCTTGCTACGCGTGGTCTCGTTCTTGTACTAACCCGAGAGTTGGCCCAACAGTGAGTCGAAGCCAGCAGAGAACTAGCTACCCATACAGACATCCATTCTGCCTCGTTGTCGGTAGGTTTGAAGGCAATCTTGTCGTCTAATTACTGACCCAGAGCGCCAGGTGGTATCGGCCAGGTCTCAGGAAGTTACGTTGCGGAATCGACCAGACGTAGCGATTGGAACTCATAGGCGACTTACTGACCATATCCGCAACTCTCCCTCTTTCGCTCCAACTACACTCGAGGTTCTCGTCCTCGAAGAAGCCGATAGGACACGCTCTCTGACGGATTTACCGACGAGTTGGCCGAAATCATTACAAATGTCGCGAAGAGACTCGCTGAGGATAGTGGAGCCTTCTTCAGAGTTCTTGATCCTAACTCCTTCTAGATCTTTGCAAGCTAGCGTAACGTTCCAGGTTGTTATATGTAGTGTATTGGCACCCGTAACAGTTTTTCCGGTTCTCCTCCCTCATTTTCGAGTCGATTTGCCTCGGAGGAGATGCATTGCAAAGAGGAGATGAATTACCTTCTTCGGGTGCATAAAAATTAGGAGTAGTGAACCAGGAAATGACAATTACTTAGAGGGTCTGGTACAACCGAGTTTGGCAGATCCATCAAAAAATTTGAGCCTGGCATCCAAGCCTTTAGCCCCGTTGTACCACTAGGATATGTGTGCTATCCATCTCCGAGGCAAATCGGTGAGGGAGAAACACGGCGGAAAAAGGCGGAAAATCGTTACGGGTTACGGGTGCCAAAAACCTTTCTAGTGGTCCTTTACCCTAGTTTACGGTTTCCATCATAGTACTGGCCAAGGAATTCTCAGGACTGTCGTTGCCACGACGCCACCCACGCAGCCGCACACTTTTTTCTTCTCCCCTTCTCTGGCCTTCCCTTTCCACTCTGGTGTCACAGACAAACCACATCTGCACTCGATCTGGGGACTTCCTTATTGGTTGTCTGGTTTTGTTGGCACACAGTTGTGATATGGAAGACCAGATGTGGGAAGTTAGGCTTCGGCCCTGGCAGCTGGACAAAACGTTAGCCTCTCTGGAGCCCTTGCCCGCTGCTTTCTCTTCCACGGCTGGGATCCGTCCTTCAGCCGTGGCCAAGCTCTTGCCTGAAAATTGGGTCAGTCTGTTTGTTTGGAAGCCCTTCTCGTGAGGGTTGACATCCTATACAGAACTCTGCGTTGGCTAGCTGGATTAGAGAGTCTATGGCTTGGACTTTACCTGAACCGGCCACAGATTCCGTGATATTGTTTGCGAAAAACGTGTATGGTTGACATTTTATGGCGACGCGCTGCCTTGGGTCCGCGTCCGATGGCGAGCTCTTATCTCAGCTTCTGCAACATCGGCGTCGCCTGGTGCAGATGGTTCTCGACATGTCGCAGGATGCGGCCTACAACATACCTGAATTTCCACTAGTCGATATGCACGGTACGCTTTCGGATCTCACGGATCTGGAGGAGTTGGAGACGAGAACCGTGATTCGTGAGGACTCTCAACCTCGGCCCGCGAAGCGCCCAAAAATAGTGGAACACTTGCCAAGCTCTCCGGCCGATATTCTGGCTTTCTGCCAGAACGGATTGGAGATCTTGTCCAATTTCATTCGACCCGCCAGCGATAAGGAGACACACGTCAGATTTTCCACTAGAACCTCTTATGGAGTATTAACCTACTTTCCAGGTAGCTCGGAGTGACTCGGAACTGGTGAAGCTAGTGATTGCCTTGCGAACCGTCTCCCGCACGAAACAACGTAGTCTCTTGTGGCTACCTCATCTCAAAGTATGGCGGCATCTCTTTATCTGCGATACGTTCTCACACTCCTCCCAGACTTCACACCTTCTTCTTGCCCTTCATGAATTCGCAAGGCCCGGCAATCTTATCGAATCCGTCCATCCCAGCGTCGAAAATAGCTTCCGCGACCACGCTTGGCGAAGCCTGATCAACCTACTTCTTCATAATCTGCTCAGTTTTGATCCACAATATGACCCCGAGCCAGAATACCCTCCTGTCCAAGTTCCGATAGTCAAATTCACCCCAGTGGATGGGTTTAATATGTTGCGCTGTCTGAGCGATCATCCCAATGCCCTGCCCTGGGTGTCCAATCCTATGGCGGTTTTCTTCCTGGTATCGGAGAGTAATTTCCAACGTGATTGGACAGAATGGCTGGGTCCAACTTTAACTAGCCTAGGTTTCCTTGTATGTCCAAGGCCTGATTTTTGCACCACGTCTCTGAATTTACCTAGATCGAACCAGGATGGAAGGTGTCTGACATATATCGGACTACGACTCAAATACCACAACTCAGGAACCTTGCGAACCTGTACAAGGCCACATTTCACCCGAAATTAGAGCAAATCTTGCGCTTAGATATCCTTTACCGCCTGCAGAAAAAAGGCCTCAACGCCCAGATCTTTCGTCCGTGTGAAGCTGCTGCTCCAGCTTTCGCTGATTTCAGGTCTCTGAGGGACAGAACAGGAGGGGGTTGTTCCTTGTGTTGGCGACGACCAAATCGGGAACGCTGCCTTCGAGATGAGTATTTCTCTCGGGTAGCAGCGAATCTCGTGGAGAAAATGTTAGACATCGGGTTGGTGGATGTAGAGGACCCAACAGATCTACCTCGGTCCCGCTCCTCAGTGCGTACTATCCACAGGACTCTGATGTGGAAATGCTGATAGTTCGAAGAAATACCCTTTGAAAACCTGCAATGTTGTAGACCTCTGTCATATCCGTGCATCCGTCATGTGCCGCGGCCCGCGGACCGGTCACGGTCCGCCGGGTTCCGGCCCGATCCGATCCGGTCGCTCCGGCGACCTTGTACTCTGTATGTCTTTCGCCTTGTTACTTATATCTCCGTATGTCCTTATGCTTGTTACTTTCCATATGCACTCCGTACCTTGTACTTACTTATGGTCTTCCCTTTCTACTTACTTGTAGTATTTAAGCAGCTAAAGTAGCTACGGTACTTTAGCTTGATTATAAACGTTACTTGCACTCCTCCTCTGTGCGGAACGACTCCGAAAACTCTTCTCTCTTCTCTTGTCCTTCAACCGGATTTCACTCCGCTCGCGGACCTTGCTCCGCTCCGACTCCGCTCCGGTCCGGTTGGTCTTGTGTTCATTCGTGTCAGGCAGCTACTGGCTTGTTAGCTATAGTAGAAACCCCCTCTGTTCTGCACGGCACTTGACAGTATAATCAAGCTCATCTGTCTGGCTTTTCCTCATGTCTTACGACAATTCCCAACAACGTTTCTCACCCCCAACGATCCTCGTCGATTTCCGACTCGTCCGGGATGGCCTCAACAGTCGTCTCCTCCGGCTCCTCCGGTTAACTTCTACGAGGGCCTAAACCTACGAGTTCATGCTGATCGGCGAAATTCTGCTCTGTTTTCTTCGTTTCCCCCTGGGAATCTTTACAACACACCCCCTGCTCTTCACGCTCCCATGCAACATCCAGTCTCACCTTCTCCTTTGCCTCAAGGCGCTTCATACGTCACTTTGCGCCCTTCGGCACGTCAGTCCTTAGAACCAAACTTCGGACGACGCTCCGCTCCTCACCCATCGACTTATTTGGATCCGCCTGTTCCGCCTCTCCCAATCAACAATCCTATTCGGCAATTTAATGCTGATGTAACTGGCTTGCGCGGAACCATTCCGGCCGAATTGGCCGCTGCGATACCGGATCACACCCGGTTCACCCAAATCGATGAGGAAGTAGAGCAACAAGGTGAAATTGTTCCTCCCCCTGTTGAAACAGAGGAACAACATGGTACTGGTTCTGGTTCTGCTAATCCTGGTGGGCCAGATAATGGTGGAGATGGCCCTGGCTCCCCTGGCGGTCGTAATAGCCCGCTTGGTGAGGGTCCCGGTGGTCCTGGGGGTCCAGAAGACCCTAATGGTCCTGATGGTTCTGATGGACCTGGCGGTCCGGGTGGCGGCGGTGGCCCAGGAGGTGGCCCCGGCGGACCCGGCGGTCCTGGTGGTCCTGGCGGCGGTGGTCCTGGAGGCGGAGGTCCTCCGGGAGGTAACCCGCCTGGTGGTCCTGGTGGCCCGGGTGCCCCTCCGGCACCTAGGGGACCTACTGATGGAGAGAGAATGGCAGCTAGCATCGTTTCTGGTCTGGCTGCTCTGGCTGCTGCGATTAACACTATGTCGCAAAATCAGGCCACGGCTCAACAATTCTCCCTCAAAACGTCTCGAAACGGAAAGTCCAATCTCCGTAATCCAGAGCCTTTCGAAGGCTCTGACCCTTTAAAGCTTCGTCCTTTCCTCACTCAGTGCTATTTGCATTTTGCTGAACGTCCCTCTGAGTTCACTACGGACTCGGAGAAGATTGTCTACATCCTCTCTTATCTTCGAGGTAATGCCTTGTCGTGGTTTGAACCCCAACTGTTCAGCGACGATCCGGACTCCGTTCCGTACTGGGACGGAAATTTGGAGCTCTTCCTATCAGAGCTTCAGACTACGTTCGGTCCGGCTGATCCGGTTGGTGACGCGGAGGCATCACTCCGCATCTTGAGGATGAAGAGCGAGGACAAGATTACGACCTATGTGATCGAGTTTACTCGACTTGCGTCTCACACATTCTGGGGTCCGGAAGCCCTCCGATCCCAATTCTACGAAGGTCTCCCTCGACGCATCAAGGACGAGCTTTCTCGCGTCGACTACGCGAACACACTGGTCGGCGTGCGCCTTGCGGCAGTCAAAATCGACACTCGCTATTGGCGACGCAAGGAGGAGATAATCCGCGAGAATAATCTCAAGGATTCCGGAGGGTCTGGCTCCGGTGGCGGTAACCAGAAGGGTGGTGGGAAGAAGTCTGGCGGGTCTAACAACTCGTCGTCTTCGGGATCCAGTTCTTCATCGACTGGAACTTCTGGTTCGTCCAACTCCAACTCCAAAGGCAACAACAACGGCAACAACAAGTCGAACGGGGGCAATAATCGCGCCTCTGGCTCCGGGTCCGGTAACGGAAACAACTCCGGGGGTAAGACTTCGACTTTCTCTCACCTTTTGAAGGGTGGCCATCTCAATGCTGCGGAGAAGGAACGACGGATCAAAGAGGGCCTTTGCCTCTATTGTGGAGGTAAGGGTCATACGGCTGACAATTGCAAGAAGCGTCCGGCCAATGCTCAGGCCAAAGCTTCGACCACGGAGGCTGCTCCTGCCTCCGACGCTGCCGAGTCAAAAAAATAGACAGCAGCCCTGATGCCTCTGCACTCCATCAGGGTTGCGTTGACTCTGGCAGTGCCCCTACTTGGCCCGAGGCTTTTCTCAACGCTTCCTCTCTTTCCCCTAACGCTCTTAATCTCGACTTATTCTCTGCTGTGGACGCCCTCGGACCTCTTTCGGAGTCGCTATCCGGACCCGAAGCGTATTCAACCACGCATATTTCTGTACTCTCTTCACTTGCCGCGGGATTCAACTCCCGCTTACGGACACTCATCGACTCTGGCTCCTCTCACTGTTTTATATCTGCTCAGGCGTGTAAAATATATGGTTTTGTGCCTTACTCGATCGCGCCCGTTAAGCTCCGATATCTCGACGGCTCTAGTTCTATCATTCGGAGCCAAGTCCGGCTACCGATTCTTTTCCCTTCTGGCGACATTCAAATCTTGGACTTCTATGTCACTCGTCTTGATCCTCCTAGTCAACTGGTTCTTGGATACAACTGGCTGCACCGCTTCAATCCGTTGATTGACTGGTCCGCAGGCAGTATCTCTTTCCGTTCCACTACTCCTAGTGATCCTGTGTCGACACCACTGGCGACTACGCCTGTCTTGGTTCAGAAACCATCCTCTACGGACGACACTCCGGCGGACACCGTTCCGGCCCCTTCGTCGCCTCTGAACACTCCCTTGTCGCCTCCTCCTGTCTTGCTTCCTTCTATGGAGTCTGATCCTTCTATGGATTCGGCCTCTAGTCAAGGCACTTCACCCTTTTCGGCCCCTCACATCTCTCTTGTCTCAGCTGCGGCTTATTCGGCAGCTATTCGTCAAGAAGGTACCGTTCAGTATACCTTACGGACCACCGTTCCGACGGTCCGTGGTAATGCGGCTTCTGCATCTGGCCCGCCTGACGGACTCCCTTCCGAATACCATGACTACGCTGAAGTCTTTTCAGAGACTGAAGCTTATAATCTGCCACCGCATAGAGAGTTCGACTTGCACATCGAGACTGAGGACGGAGCTGTTCCGCCTATCGGACACCTTTACTCTATCTCTCAAGCCGAGCTCGAAGCCTTACGCGACTTCATCGACAAGAATCTCAAGGCGGGCTTCATTTATCCGTCTAAATCCTCTCATGGTGCTCCGATCCTATTCGCTAAGAAGAAGGACGGCTCTCTTCGACTTTGTGTCGACTACCGTGGTCTCAATCGTATCACTAAACGCGACCGCTATCCGCTTCCGCTCATTTCCGATCTCCTTGACGCTCCGGGTCGAGCTAGGATCTATACGAAGCTGGACTTGCGTCACGCTTACCACTTGCTCCGCATAGCGGAGGGTGACGAGTGGAAAACAGCGTTTCGCTCACGGTATGGTTCTTACGAATGGAGGGTTGTTCCTGAAGGCCTCATGAACGCGCCTTCGGCTTTTCAACGCTTCGTCAATAGCCTCTTCGCGGATATGTTGGATGTGTGCGTCATTGTTTACCTTGACGACATACTAATCTATTCGGACAACCCCTCCGAGCACCGCAAACATGTACGGGAGGTACTCCGACGCTTACGCGACGCTGGACTTTATTGCAAACTATCTAAGTGCGAGTTCAGTGTGGAGTCTTGTGAGTACTTGGGCTATATCCTTTCACCTGATGGTTTCCGGATGTCTCCGGAGAAAGTTGCGGCTATCGTCGACTGGCCTGTGCCACGCAAGGTCAAAGACGTACAGTCTTTTCTTGGGTTCTGTAATTTCTATCGGCGTTTCATTCCTTACTACTCCGACACTACCGTTCCGTTGACTCGTCTCACACGAGCCAATACCAAGTGGAACTGGTCGGAGGACTGCGAGGCGGCGTTTAATACGCTTAAGAATGCCTTTAAACAGTCCCCAATACTTCACCATTGGGTGCCTGGTCGGCAAATTACTGTCGAAACGGACGCCTCCGACTATGCCATCGCCTCTATCCTCTCTATCAACGGGGATGACGGCGACATTCATCCGGTTGCCTTCCGCAGCCGAACCCTTGGTCCAGCCGAACTCAACTACGACGTGCACGACAAAGAGTTGTTGGCCATCTTCGATGCCTTCACTATCTGGCGCCACTATCTGGAGGGCGCTCCGCTTCCGATCGATGTCGTAACCGATCACAAGAATCTTGAGTACTTCTCTACTACCAAGATTCTTACTCGTCGTCAGGTCCGCTGGTCCGAGTACCTTTGCCATTTTAACATGGTAATCCGCTTCCGTCCGGGCCGTCTGGGCGGAAAACCCGATGCGTTAACTAGACGATGGGACGTCTACCCTAAAGAGGGGGATAATGATTACCGTAAGGTTAATCCGCAAAATTTGCGCCCAATTTTCGCTACTGAACAACTCACAACGTCTCTACGCG